AAGATAAGGGTTTGGGTCAAAAGCATAAAAATTAAGCTTAAATCTGAACCTGGAATGAAACTGTTTCAATAGAAAAGTAACTCACAAGAAATTCACTTTGGAATATTAAAGATGATTGAAGTTTTCCTAAATTAAATTTGAGTTTTATTAATTTATAAAATTTTCTATTTATATTTATTATACATATGAGGGAAACTTGTAAATAATTTTGGAGCATGTTAAAGAAATGCTTAAACCCGGGGATTTGGCTCAGTGGTTTCGCAGCCTGCCTCGAAAGCACAAGGGCCCCAAGTTTAGATCCCCAGTACCATAAGAAACAAAAGAGCAAGAAATACTTAAACTTAAGTAGTAGTATTTCTAATCCACAGACTGAAGTATAACCCAAAACTAAATTATTTATTAAATATAACTATGAATCATAGTCTGATGGTGACATATAATTAAATCTTCAAATCTATTTCTTAAAAAAGGAGAAAGAGGGGGGACCTACCTTGTACACACATTCAAATTCACATGGTTGATATCATTTTTATCATCTTTTACACTGACATCCAAATCAAAGGCTTCTTGACTTTGGATTGATCTTCGTCTTCTAAAAGACCCTGAATCTTTCACATTATAAATAACATTGAGCTGCAATAGATAACAAATGAGCATAAATAATAAATTAGCAATAAATCACTAACAATAAATTGCCACCATTGTGCATTTTAAATATTAGGCAATGATTCTAACTGGCATAAATCCAACTGGGTTTATAATCTTTGAACTAGAAAAAATACAGTTTCATTGGCTAATAATGCACATTATTTAAAAAATGCTGTAAAGTTTATGAGAACTTATTTTTAAAACGGAGAAACTTGGCACAGGTGATATCCAAGTAACTATCATGGAACACTGTCTGATAGTCACGATACTGCTTTTACAAGGAACATAAAACATGGTCCTCAAGATGGAAGAGAAGTGACCGGCAAGTCTGCTGAGAGCAAGCTCTAACTTCCAGCTCTGCCACCCAAGTGAGTGATTTTCAAAACCAGAGCCTTACTGACTCTCGGTACAATAAATCCAAGTGAAAACATCAACCACTGAGGCTTCTTCATCACAGTTAGAACGCTTTTCAAAGATGATAAGAAAATGATGGATTTCAAGTCAACCCGCTTTCTCCAGCTCACGCTGTGCCACACTGATGCAAGAAGGGGACACAGGGGACACTGGGGACCCATGGTGGCACAAGGACCAAGGTCACTCAGAGTGGCCCTAAGTCAGAAAACTGGGTGTCACTCAGAATTTCCTAGGCCAGCCTCATCCCAAGATGGGGCGGAATCCACTCAAATGCTTTACTTCATCTACTTTTTTTGATACCAAGGTACATAAAGTTAAACTGCAATGTTAACATTTCTTTATCTTGTACTTACACACACACACACACATCCCTCAGAAGTAAACATCTAGCACCTCTCCTACATTTACACACTTTTAAAAATCCTCTGACTAAATTTCAGTCTAAGAGTTCCAGTCTTTTTTTTTTTCTGTTTTTTGTTTTTTGTTTTTTGAGACAGAATATCACTATGTAGTTGAGACTGACTTGGAACTCACTATGTAGCCCAGGCTGGTCTGGAACTCACATCGATCCTCCTGCCTCAGCCTCCCAAGTGCTGGGATTACAGGCGTGTGCAACCACACCCAGCAAGTTCCAGTCTTTATATTCTGCAACAACCCATACTCATAGTAGTTTTCCCCCTGGGCCATCTGTTTTATCTCACTGTGGACATCTCCAGCTGTTTCTTAAAACTATACAAATTAACTATTAATTTTAGAAATAATTTAAAGGATTCCTGGAGTAGCTGGAGAAAAGTTTCATACAACTGAAGAGATACAGTCTCTGCTGTGTCATCATCCCCGTCCTAGTGACACACAGTAAGAACTACTAGTTTGTCCCTTGGGTCATACTCCCTCCCTGTCCACAAGTAAGCAATAAGGTTTACGGAGCTCAACTTTTCCACCACAGAACCTCAAGAGATCTTGCAGTTTATTTCCAACAGCTTTGCACTTTATAACCCAAAAGAGGTTCATGTTTACTGCAAACCTGAGAGTTTTCTTTGCCCTCCTTTTCCCCATGCACTTATAAAAATATCACCCATTTCCGGGTGTCCAACATCTTTGCAGTTCCCCCACACACCCATGGGAAGCGCCTACTGGTTCCGCTGCTTTCTGTACTTAAAAACAAACGTGGGACCAGTAAACATTCTGACCTGTGCATATCACATTTACCCCACAGGCCTTCAAACTCCAAGCAGCAATCATTTACTCTCAGTGATTTATCTACACTTGGTTTACCACAAATGAATTCTGGCCAATTTGGTGAATTACACATATATGATTTTTCAATGGTATTTAAAGTATGCTGTGTCTTTACTTCTGGGTTTACTTTTCATGAAAAGCTTGGAGATGATGATTTTTCCCGTGGTCTAAATTAGTAAAATCCAATACAAAATATTCATTCTTTCTACCCTTTTCATGGAATCCCCCTCACTTTCAGTATTATCATTTTCCTTGATCTTTAAAAATGTTCCCTGTTATTTGATTTTTTTTTTTTTCCTTGTACCAGGGATGGAGCTCAGGACCTTGTGCTTGCAAGGCAGGTGTGGTGCCAGTAAGCTAAACCTCCAGCCTGCTGTTATTTGAATACCATGCAAAACAGTCAGGATCATTTCAAGTTACCAAATGAATCCTGCTTAGCAAGGCACACCTGCCCGATATGGCAGAGCGCCTGTCTCTCAACTAGAATAACTTCGTCAGGTTTTGGAAAAGTGCCCCTTCTCCACACAGCCATCCGGCACTTTCTGAGTCAGTGTTTCGATGTGTGCTTAGATCTTTTTTGTTTGTTTCTAATGCCCAAGTACATAATTATTTTTAGTCCTATCGTATACTATTTTGGATTTCCAGTAAGTACTTTTATATTACTTCTATTTTATTTTACTCCTACTGTATCATAAAATGTAGTTTGTTTTGGATTTTCTTCCCGTACCAGGGTACTGAACACAATCATGATCTGTCTTATTTTTTATTTTATATGGTTTTAAATTAAAGGAACACATTCTCTATCTTCAAGACAATAATTTGTAAGGTTATGCTGATATTTATATTCTTAGATAAATATTAAGAATTTATAAGTAAAATGTATATTTGTTTTTCAGGTAACGGTAAGAACTCCACAAACATTATTAATTTCCGAACTTATATTTACACAAAAAACTGACAGCTCCCAACTATTTACATGAATCATATTGGAGGATTTTAACCCTAACTTCAAAATGTGAGTAATCCCCCTAAAATATTTTTCAGATTATCTATATATAACTTCTGCTTAATCACTATTTGGTAACTTCTCATACTTTTTGTTATGATTGTTGTGGTTGTTGTTGTTGTTGTTTCTGAGACAGAGTCTCACTATGTAGCCAAAAAAACTCATGTAGCCTCAAACTCACAGCGATCCCCCTGCCTCAGCCTCCTGAGTGCCAGGATTGTGAACATGTACCACCATGCCCAGTAGCTCCAGTACTTTTTATTAAACAGAGTAATATATCTCTTCTCAGTCATAAAAGTAGATCACTAACGATTTTATATAAATTTTCTAAGCTAAAGATTTAGCAATGCCCTAAAGCAAAGAATTATTATAAAAAGTCAAGTATAAGTGAAAAAACAAGCATTCTTACATACCTGACAGATAGCAAATCCAAAACCATTTGCGGTTATATTAACTGCAGTTGGCTGTCCCACAGCAAGCTGGAGAAAAGTGGGAGAAAAGAGCGAATGAGGCCAGTTTTCCATCTTCAGACCCTTCCACGTAGCACAAGAGAACAGGGTCACCCGCGTTGGGAGACAGCAGCTTGTGGAGCACGCGGAGCTCCGGCGATCTTTCAGGTCGGAGCAGTGAGGGCGGGGACGTCTCCTGCGCTTGGGGAGACAGGGCCCGTCGGCGCTACCACCGCATGTCCTCCCACTAGGGTCAAAGCGCTGGAGACACGACACAAAAGCAACACACTCCCCCGCCTCCCTCAGTCAGGCCTCTGGCCTTCCTGGGAAAACGGGGACTCCGCGTCTGGATTGTGCCTAGCTTTCCTCCTCACCCTAACCCTCACTCTCTGCCTCACTTTCTGGCCCTGAAGTTGTCCCCTGCGTCCACTGTCCTTGTTCCCCTAAGTTTAGCTAAGAGAATAAAGTCAGGGCCGAGCATATTCCTTTATTCCACTTTACAGCAAGAATTTCTGCTACCGCTTCTCTCAGTGTTTTCAGGATGTGTGGAATGGCTAAAAAGAGCACGGTCTTGGGAATCCTGGGTCTAAATCCCAGCTCTCCAGTTTCTGGAAACACGACCTTAAACAAGTTACCTGCCTCTCTCAGCCTCAGTTTATGTATTGAATGGTGACAATGGTATTTCCCTCAGAGTTGGCTTGAGAAGAAAATGGAATTCCTATGGAATGCAAGCTAGTACGGTGAAGAGCAGGAAGCGGGGTGCGGGCATTCCCACCCCGACGTGAGAGTGCCGTCTTTTCCTTTCCATTGGAAACGTTCCCATCCCTCCGTCCATCCCGAGATCGGCACACTCAACCAAAGGAGATCAGCCCTACTCCTTGCTGCCTGTCTCTGCACAGCTCTGGGAATAAGTCTTCATGTTAAAGCCAGCAGATTAGAAATAAAGCAGTATTCCAAGCACTCTAGGAGGCTGAGGCAGGAGGATCATAAATTCAATCCCAGTAGGAAGGGAGGGAGGGAGGGAGGGAGGGCGGATTCCAGTATAAAGACCCATCCAAATAGATTTTAAATAACAATCGTTTTCCACACCTCTGCTGTCTGAAGGAGAAAGCGGTTGTGTGTGTTGATCAGAAACTTCACAGGATGTGGTGAGCTTGGCCCCTTCACTGTCACTTGGATATCCGTTCTTTCTGTATTCATTAGGACCACAAATTCCGACAAGGCTTTTAAGGCCATGACAGTGTCCTGTGAAGAGAAGAAAACCAATTGTGCACACAGGTGTAAATCAAGGTCTCCCAGAAGCAAGCTCAACAATGCCCAGGTCCTGCTCTACGCTCCCCACCCGCTTAAGAGCGGATCCCTCCTGAAGGTCCTTGAATTCCTTGGCTCAGAAGGGTCTGCAGGTGGACCTGAGGATCCACCCTAAATCAGTTCCAGAGGTGCCCAGCCGCTGCCATAGATCTGCCCGACTCTGTATAAGTATCAGACAGGAAATTCATGAGAAAAAGTTTAGATTACAGCCAGGCGTGATGGCGCACACCTGTAATCCCAGCAGTTGGGAGGCTGAGGCAGGAGGATCGCTGTGAGTTCGAGACCAGCCTGGGCTACATAGTGAGTTCCAGGTCAGTCTCAACTACATAGTAAGACCCTGTCTCAAAAAACAAAAACAAACAAAAAAAAAGTTTAGATTACTGCTTTAAGGCACTCAACTTTAAACTGCTAAGTAACTTTACAAAGCTATGAAAAAAAAAAAAGAAATCATGTAATTCCTAAAAATACATGTGTGCATAGTATAAATAGGAAAACCGACTGCATCTCTCACCTGGGTGGATGCAAAGCCTCCCAGGCTGTTTCTCTGCCTGCTGAGCCACCTCATAATAGGGGTGCCCTGGGGAGCCTGCAGCTGCAGGAAGTGGGACAGCAGAGCGTACGCTGCCACCTCAATGTCCAGGGAGCGCGGCTGCCAGCCCTGGGACAGGGTGGATGCGGGGGATGCCCAGAACCGCTCACCTCCTGAAGGAGAAAGAGAACGGCATTCAGTGGCCCCGAATTCACAGGCCACACCATGAAACAGCCCCGCACCACCGAACTCCCTTTGACTTGCATGAAAACACGTTTTATCTGTATGTACACGTACACCAAGCATTCACACTCACCACAAGCACACAAAGGCACATTCACTTACATAAGTCTCTTTTCAACCCGCTACAACTTACAAATTTTCACTCTCTTCCTATTGCCTGTATTTGAGGGTGTTTTGATTAAAATATTTTTCCCAAGAGAAATTCCCCATGTCTGGCCCAAGACAAAATGGTCACCAATAAAAAGAAAAACATACTATATTTTAAAAAATAATGTATATAACTTATCTGAGTCCAGTCATTCCCAAAATACTTTCCAACACATGGGAAAGAGTCTTGACCTGGGATCTGCCACGAACCAGCTCTCACATTCTGAGAAACTGCTCCCTTTTTCATTGTCTGGAAATTGATGTTGTAAGCGCAAAAATTCAAGCACACTGCCTCCCCCGGAAACCTGAGTGAGACCCTGGCCAAGTGGCCAGCCTTCCTGGAGGTCATCCTGCTCTGACCCCAGGCCACCGTGGCGCCCCCAGGACTTCCACGGTGATTGCACCTGGGTGCGACGTGACATCCCAGGAAGCCAGGATCACCAGGGCCTCTGCAGTAATGATGCAGTCCTCAGCACTGGGAGACGGACTGAGGGTGCCAAATCCCTGTTACTACTGTAATGATTCCTGCAGACCCCTCCAAGCCCTTGCTACAGTTTCCTGAATGAATAGAACTTTGAGTCAGAGGACATCATCTAAAGCCTCTACACACACACACACACACACACACACACACACACACGGACCCCTGGGCACTTTACAGAGGTTGTTTTGGGACTAAGGATACCTGTGCTTTCTGTCCTTTTGTAACCAAAAGCAGTTCCCACAAAAAAAAAATTTTTCACCCACACAACCTACTTTAGCAGCAGCATTTTTTTCTTATCTGCATTTAGATCCCATCTTTGAGCACTTGCTGTGAGGCGGGCTCTGCACATGACCTCAGTCCCTTCTCACCGTGACCCTAACATAGCTATCACTCCACTTGACAGGGAGTCTGAAGCTCAGAAAGGCAAGAGAACCAAAAACCCATGTGCTCCGGAACCCAGGGTCTTCGGCAGCACAAAAGGCTATCAAATCAGAAATGGCATCCAAAACTCAGAGTCTCTATACAGCGCTGAACATGTCTTCAAGAAGGAGACTCCTGGGCGTGCGATTCTGTATAAAACCTCCGGGGAGGCTTAAGGCACCGGAAGCCCATCCTGATCTCCTCACGATGTGTATTTTGCATCACTTTCCAAAGATGCAATGCAACCAACTTCGCAGCCGGCTCACCTGCGCATCCCTTAACCGCTCAGAGTCCAACAGCCTCACCCAGTTCTCTGTTACCTTCCTCCTCGGCGCGCTGGGTCAGCACATTCAAAGCCTCCTTTGCCGTAGGACTCCCCACTGCCGACAGTGCGTAAGTTACAAGGGCTAGAGTGTAATTGTCTGAAATTCCTCTACTAAATTCAGACTCCAAGAAGCTGACAGAGTCTCGTACATCAATATTAGGCTTGGAAGAAAAAGATACATATTTTATTATTCAAAATAACCCCTTATTTCTTTTCAAAACAAAAAGCACTTTAAACATTCATTCAGAAAATAAGAACACTCAGCTTTCTTTTTTTTTTTTTTTTTTTTTTTTTTTTGGTACTGGGGATCGAACTCAGTGGTGAAGCCACTGAGCTAAATCCCCAGAGAACATTCACTCAGAAAGTAATTTCAGCGTGTGATAAGCCCCTACCTGACCCTAGGCAATGGAAATTAACCACATGCACTGATATTTAAAGAGTTGCCATGCATTTTGAAAATAATACCAGCTATCATTTAGAATGAAACAGGCCCCATTCTTTAGATAGAATAAGGAATATAAAGTGTAGATTTTCTTTCCAGTTTATCCCAGTGAGTACCATTAACTCAGATGAAAGCAGAAAGTCTAGCTTGAGAAAGACATTCTTCATATTTAATCTCAGATGTCCAACCTCTAAGTTTAGAGAAAAGTTTGTCTTCTGTGAGCCCCGTGCTGGGCTACTAAAAGAGTAGGAGCTTAGTAGAGAGAATGGCTGTTGACCCTGTGAAATACAGGTGAAGTAAACAGAAAGGTATCAAACCCTGGGACAGCTCTGGAACAAAATCAGGATCACGAGCAGAGCTTTCCACACATACGCCCCCTCAGCCCGGCACGTACGCCCGCTAACTGGCTTTTCAGAGAGCAGATGTACTTTGCACTAAAGTAGTAGATACTGCAGTTGTCCCGAGATACTTCAGAAATGTAAAACAAAACCTTCACAACCTCACCTTGCTGGAACATATTCTTGATGTAGGAGCTAAGGCGAGGCAAAGCTGGCCCGGAAATGAGCGGGGCCTGTCAGTTAATTACAAGATTCCAGGGCAATGCAAGGACGCCGTACGGAGGACTTCTTGCGAGCTCCCACGAGATGCGGACGGAATAAAAGCGTGACCATCAGGGAAAGCCTCTCCTGAGTTGCCAGGATAGCTGCACCACATTTCAGATGTGGTTTTGGGGTTTTGGTTTTTTGTTTTTTGTTTGTTTGTTTTGCTTTTACCCTTTTTCTTTTTCTTTGGCTCAAGTTCACTCTGCAGAGCTAATTTCCCCTATGTCCATTCAACCTTCACTTTTCTGTTTTTGAGTCTTTTTAAATAAATTTTACTTTATTCTATCCCACCCCCTAAGCCCGCTCCCCTCCCTTAGGTACAAAAGCTTTGTTTCCATTTTTTCCTTCTACTTTTTTTCCCTTCCTTCCTTTCTTCCTCCCTCCTCCCTTGTTGCCTTTCCCATTTGAACCCTTGTCAAATAAACATTTGGCACCGTCTTTGGCTTATCTCATCCGATTCTTCGTCCCAGGCAAAAGGACCTGGAATACTTCTGACTGACAAGCCATCTCTCCCATCCAAGGACTAACCGGGCCAGATCCTGCTTAGCTTCTGAGGTCGGACGAGACTGGGCGTGCTCGGGGGGTACGGCTGGCTGTAGACAGGTGAGCCATTTCTGAAGAAACTAACCTATAACATTTTCAAACTCTGAAAAATCATCTTCCCTCTAATAATAAAAAAATATGTCTTGACTTCTGTTACCAATAATAGGTAAAATATCTAAGTACAAAGCATTTTGGAATCCTCTTATTACTCTGGAGAGTACGTTAATATTTTTATCCTCAGCTTTTGAAATACAAAGAGAGGGTACCCAAATTTAGATTTCAAATGCAATGTAAAGTTTCAGAACCCTTTAAAAGTTTCAGACAGATATTTTACCTTCCTTGGCTTTCCCATCAGTCATTTATTAAAGATGAAGTACCTGATACTTTCTGTATCCCAGGAGAGAAGTCACAATGTAGGCTGTGAGTGTCACTGGACTTTTATTGCCACCCTGAAGTTCACTGTGGATCACTCTTCCTGGCTCCCAAAATTCACCACTGGATTTCTGATGTCCTTTGAGCCAATTAAAGGTTCTGCGTAGCACATTCTGATCAATATCTATGTAAGGATCGGCTTCGAGGAAACATCTTAAAACAAAAGCTGACAACCTTGGTGAAAGAAAGAAAAATACATAAAATACATGTTATAAATACACTCCAAGTTGACACTGAGTGAACGTAACACATTTTCCCCCATCTGGAAATTCAGCAAAGGTAGAATCTGAAAAAGTGCACCAGAGAAAAAAGAGACTATAAGACCCTGCCTAGCAGGTGGGCCTGGTTCCACTTTAGCCTGGCCAAAGGTGTCAGGCCCACTCCAAAGATGAGATTTGGAAAGGAAGCTAGAAATCATCTAATCCCGCCTCATTATTTATAGATTGGAAATGTGACACTCCAGGAGAGCTAAATAAATCGTCATCTTTGCACTATTCTAGCCACGTACCAAAGATCCCACACACATTCTGTTCGGTCCCAAATCTGCAGATGAAGGACACACCGTTTACGAGCAAACTGTAGCACTTCAAGTAAGGAAAACGGATACTTTTCTTTCTTACAGGGCTACACCTTATGGGCCAAATGTGCCTGGCCCAAACCTGTCCAGCTCAGGCCGTATTCGTAGGTATTTGTAACCCCAACCTGCCACCAACACCTGCGAATGACTTCCAAATGGAGAAAGAGGTGAAAAGAGGGAGGAGTGTGGGAAAGCAGGTAGGTAGGTAATACAATTTATGTTCTTTCTGGTCCAGTATGTGTACAGTATCTACCATCTGACCCTTTTCAGGAAAATGTGTGCCAACCTGATGTAGAACGCTGTCGTAAAGTGAAAAGAATGTCAAACAATGAAACAAGGAAATCTTTCTATTTAAGGATCCACATCCTGGGGCCGGGGATTTAGCTCAGTGGTTCCACCGCCTGCCTCGCAAGCACAAGGTCCTGAGTTTGATCCCCGGTACCACAAAGAAAAAAAAAAAAGGATGCATATCTGGCTCCTGACAAGAGAAAATTTGAAGCAGGTCTGTCTCATGAATGGCTCAGCGTGGTAGACACTGCTAACGCTCAACAATACCCAGTTCCCTTGAACTTGGATTATGCAGAGGAGTTCACGTCCCTGGCCCGTGAACGTCAGGCACAGCCACGTGGGCATCTCTGACAAGTGTTCAACTGAGTCCAGAGCAGCAGAGGCCAAGCCGGACGTGGTGGCGCACGCCTGTAATCCCAGCACCCAGGAGGCTGAGGCAGGAGGATCACTGTGAGTTTGAGACCAGCCTGGGCTACATAGTGAGTTCCAGGGCAGTCTCAACTACATACATGGTGAGGCCCTGTCTCAAAAAAAAAAAAAAATGTGAAAAACAGAGCAGCAGAGGCCAAGCCAGGTCCTCCAGCCTTGAGTTCCAAGGATACGAAGCTGGAGCCTCCCACTAAGCAGGTGCGATGGTGGCTGTGTAGGCACAGACCGCAGTCGGTCTGCTGAGCCCCAACAGGACGCAGCATGGGACAGAAACAGACCGTGGTCAACATGCTATGATTCAGGAGGAGCTTGCTACCCCAGCACACCAGGTCTGAACTGAGGGGTACAGTCGGTGCTGGAGCTTGGATCCCGAATGTCCTCCCAAGGTCCGCAGGACACTGCCGCGGGGAGGGAGGGAGACCCTGAGCACCTGGCCTTGGGGGAAGCCCTTCGGTCACCGGGATATGCCCCCAAGAGGTGTTCGGGGACCCTGTCCCTTTCTCTTCTGCTTTCTGGCCATGAGGTATGTGGTCCACTCTGCTTTGGCTTCTGCCATGATGTGCTGCCCTGCCACAAGCCCCAGCAACAGGGCCACTGACCAAAGACGGGACCTGCAACGCTAAGGCCACGGCCAGCTTTTCCCTCTATAGGATGATCGTCTCCATCCACGATGGAGCAATGACTGACACCGTCGGTCAGTCTGACTCTGGAGCACAAAGTTGAAGATGGTGGCTACTTAAAGACTGAGGCAGGCGGATCGCTGTGAGTTCAAGGCCCACCTGGGTTACATAGTGAGTTCAAGGCCAGCTACACAGTAAGACCCTGTCTCAAAAAACTAAAATTAAATAAATGCTTATCTTTTCACGCCAGACTACGGGGAAAGCAGCCGCCAAATCTACACACAGTTCCATGTCCGTCAACTTCGTGGACACTATGTGACCTAGTAAAAGCCCGTTCCACAACCCAGACCAGACTGTCAGAACCACTTACCAGGTACTCCCAGAAGGATCGTTATTCCCAAAAGCACTGAAAGAGCCATCGTCCCTCTGGTAGAGAAGTTCTCTCTGATAACCTGAAGACACAAAATTAGGCAGGTATTCAATGGAAATCCCTGTGCCATGAATGAAAGTTTCTAATAATGGCTTCTTACTGAGGAAATACGGGTAGAGAAGGGAAAAGAAAAAAAAACATCACCATATAATTTTGAGTATTCTTTATGTTAAGTGTCATAGGAAATTTAAAAACTAAGAACTTTTCCAGCAGAATGCAAAAAATAAGAGCTGTCATATCCTGAAATTAAATGCAAAAGGCTTCTATAGCACTGACGACACTTCTACCCTTCAAAAGCAAGCAAATTAAAGGCAGAGTTATGGTAAGTAACTCTCTTGGATCCCACAAGGTCTCCAAATTTTAAAAGGACTGGGGATATAGCTCAGTGTAAAGACCTTGAGTTCAATCTCCAACACCAAAAAAAATTTTTTTTAATTTTGTAATAGTTTTGTCCACAGCTCTGGAGTTTGAAAAGTATTAGGATTAGATTAGAATTATACACATCTGAAATTTGAAATGCAGAAGAAGTCAAAAGGCTGTTAGGATACAATGGAGTACTACTCTGCCAGAAAGAAAGATAACATTTATAGCTAAATGGATGGACCCTGAGATCATCTTCAGTGAAATAAATCAGACACAAGTGTTTAAATACCACATTGTTCTTCTGTGTGAGAAACTGAAAGCGAAAATAAGGACTAAAAGGTATAATAGCCAGGGTTAGTTCAATGGGACCATCCGTGCCGCAAAAGCACAGGGTTCAGAGTTTGATCCCCAGCGCCAAATAAATAAATAAAATGTATAACAGATATGGAGAAAAGGGAAGAAATGTTTCAAATAGGAAGGGGAAAAAAAGAGGAGAGAGGGAGGGAGGAAGGGACAAGAAAAAAAAGTGAAAATAAAGGAAAAAATGGAAACAAGGATTTTGTACATAGGGAGGGGAGGAGTCTTGAGGGCAGGTGGGGGAATGGGCTAAAATAAAATTTATTTTTTAAAGAGGCTATTAGGATAATTACATGGAAACTGATGTTTATAGAGGGTCAGGTAAGATGCATACTTTTCTGGTTCATGAATTTTCTTTAGACCAATCATGAATCTAAGATCCTTAGAACTTATCATAATAAAGGTGAAAGTCTTGCCTATAAAAATAAATTAGAGGAGAACCACACCAGCTCCCGACCCAGCCGCCATCGCTCAAGTGCCGGGAGGTAGCCGGGCCCGATCCACCGCGGGAAGGAGAATCACGACCCAGCCACCATCGCTCAAGCACCGGGAAGATAGCCGCGTGGACGCCCCTGAACGCCCATAATCCCCCCACCCCCCGCACACTCAATCCTCCTGACTGTGCCAGTCTTTGGACCCACTCTGCAGAGACAGAGGTAGTCATCAAGGGTATTTTTCTGAGTTCCCAACTTTGAACATCTTTACAGAAAGGGCTTGGGAAAGCTGTAATAGAACATTGTGGAGTTCAACCATTCAGAAGGTTGGGGAACTCAATGTGGGCCTTGCAGACCGAGGTCAGTCAGTGTCATGAGGTTCAGCCATCAGTTAACTGAGATCAGGGGTCTTGCATCCTCGCTCTGTCTGAGCCATTAAATGGTAAATACACTATATTGAAATTTTGTTCACTGCAGACATGTTCTGGACTGCTTCTTGATTTCAATTATATTCAAATGATTTAAGGGTGATAGACTAGTGACTACCACAGGTGGTCAGTGTCCAAGTTGTGCTTGATCTTAATATGTCGCTGATTGTATTAGTAGGGGTAAAGCATTACTGTTGATTTGATGAGCTGTTTTCTCTGATGTTATGAAGATGAGAATGTCTGTGGGTCCTTAGAGACACAGAAGCTAGGGTGCAACTATATCATAAAGATTTGGGTGATAATCCAGAGAGTAAACCAAGGACAGTCTGACAACAAAAATTAAAATGAGAAAACACTTAAGCAAGACACAAAGACAGATTTCCAGTTTACCAACGGCAAACAGTAGGGCAAATGAGGATGAAAAGGCCGATAGTGAACCACCAGGACACCTTGAACAAAAAGCACAGGAAGTAGCAAAACAGATCAATCAGGCTCTAGAAAAATTCAAAACAGAAATAATTTCCCAGATAACCATAGAGATAGTGAGCAAAATGGAAGTCGTGATTCGAGACTATAGAGCAGAAACTGACAAAAAAACAGATGAGCTCAGGACCATGAGAGAAACCATGAAGGCCCAGCATAAGAAAGAAATTGAAAAAATAAACGCCCAACATAGAAAAGAAATGGAATCCAAAAAAAAACAGATTCAAACAGATATCCAGGAGCTTAAACACTCTATTGAAAGTGTACACAACAGAATAAAAGAATGCGAAGATAGGCTCTCAGATATAGAAGATAAGATTGCAGTCAGTGACCAGGAAAAGAGAGGTCTCTTAAAAACAGTAAGAGATCATGAGAAATCCATCCAATAACTCCTAGATGATGCAAAGAAGAATAACATAAGACTAATAGGAATACATGAAGTAGCAGGAGAAAATACAAATGACTTAAAAAAGCTGTCTGCAGAATTAATGACCGAAAACTTCCCAAACAGAGGGGAAGAATTGGACATTCAGATAACTGAGGCATATAGGACCCCAACTAGCTACAATCAAAAAAAATCTACACCTAGACATATAATAGTCAAGATCCCAGAAACCCAACAGAAGAACAAAATACTACAACCAGTAAGAGAAAAGAAACAAATCACATACAAAGGAAAGCCCATCGGAATCACAACAGACTTTTCAACACAAACCCTTGGGGCAAGGAGAACCTGGAATGAGATAGTTCAAGTACTAAAAGAGAACAACCTCCAACCTAGACTGATATATCCAGCAAAACTCTCTTTCAAAATGGAGGGGGAAATAAGGCACTTCCACGACAAAGAACACCTGAGAAACTACATGAATACCAAACCAGCACTACAAGCAATTCTAAACAAGATCCTACAAAAAGACAATGCAGGCAACAACACCATGAGGCCCAACAGAGCAAATCAAATAGGCAAGGCAAGAAATTAAAAGGAGAAGGTGAAAAAGTAAAAAGAGTCAACAAAAGGCCAATAACATGCCAATAATAAGTCAGTACATATCAGTTATAAACAGCAATGTCAATGGCCTTAACTCACCAATCAAGAGAAATAGACTGGCAAAAAGGAATAAGAAGGTAACAAAATAGATAAGCAGAATGATATAAGAAGCAAAATACAACAATATGCTGCACACAAGAAACACACCTAGTTGAAAAAGAAACTCAGAGACTAAAAGTAAAAGGAAACAGTTCTCCATGTGACAGGAACCCAGAATGAGGAAGGGGTAAGTATCTTATTTGCGGACAAAGTAAATTTCAAACCAAAACTGAATCTAGTATTATTGATGTAGGATGGTACTGTATCATACCTCTATGAATGTAAAATATCTAGTACCTGCTTTATGATACATAGTAGGGACCATGCTTTATCAGAGTTACATTTAATGATATTACTCTAGAATATTCTCTTTCCAGATGAGGATTAAGAGGCTAACAGAAAAAATGGTACCAGGTACCACAACAGCAACAGAACTTTGCTGTTTTCTGGATATTATTCTTTTCTTTGTTTTTTTTTTTTTAATGGAATGTGCTGAATGTCTATAATTTTGTTCAGATATCTGCAGAACCTGGAAAAGCTGTTGCTGCTATCGATGCATAACATCCTATTATTAGTCTTTTTATATAAAAAAATTTATATATATATAAATTGAATTTTGGGAAACTTTAACAGTGCTGCCAACTTTGGAAAGTCATCCCAATTTACTATGTTGACTTGGCATTGTACAGAAATGGACAACCATATTGGTCTAGAAATGTTAATTTTTTTTTTATTTTTTATTTTTTTCCATGTGTACAGGGGTAACACATCATACTAAATATGTAAGGTCATATCTACGTGGGTTTGATTACAGAAACTAATAAAGTATTCTCTAAATAATGAAAAAATAAATAAATAAATAAATAAATTAGAAAGTAACACTCTGGGTCTGGGGATGTAGCTCAGTGCTTGAACACCTGCCTAGCATGCCTGAGGCCCTAGATTCCATCCCAAGCAGCACAGGAAAAAAAAAAAAAAAAAGGAAATGTAACTTTCTGAATATAATTTAATTTGGGGAGATTTAGCTCAGTGGTTCTGCTGCCTGCCTCACAAGGGCAAGGACCTGAGTTCGATTCCCGGTACACTCCCCCAAAAAAAAAGTTTGTACATAATTTAATTTTGTTTATCTCAAGTATCAAAAATTGCATTTTAAAAAAAAAGTCGCTAGTTTTCCTGACTATATGAAGCACTTTCTCCGGCAAAAGCTGCTAAAAATGTTTCCTGTACTAAAGAAAGGTAATCGTTATCAACTTCCTTACTTTCTACGACAATGAAATGCAAAGGGAGAATTTAGTTTTTCCTGTTTTGTTTCAACAAGAAAATATTATGTTTTTAACTATTCGGTTTAAGTTTCACTTGAAAAACTGAGCCGGGGGTGCTACGCTTCAAGTAGCTGAGAAAAATGTGAGATTTACATCTTCAATTAACAGTTTCAGAACCCTTATCAGGAATACTTTTCATTTTGCAGTTCTACTTTTTTTCTTTTTTCTTTTTTTTTTTTTTTTTTTTTTTTTTTTTTTTTTTTTTTTTTGGAACAACAAGACATATTTCATTCAATGATGTAGCTGTTGTTTGGACCAAAACACAAATGGGTTAGATTACAGGGCTGCTGGGCCAAGAATGATTCAAGTAAACAGTGAGCTGCTCATAAATGACAAATAATATAATCATGACTCATACCAAAGCCACTTTAATTTCTTAAAAAATAACGACTACACTATATTCAAAGAACTTTGGCAAGTGTTATGGCAAAAGAAAATAGTGAGTCTCTGAAATGAGACCCTGATTTCATAACGAAAAGTATCACTGCGGGAAACTTTTGCACCACTCTGAAATGCCATTTGGTCCAGAGAGAGAGGATGTATTTTGGGGAACTCCATTTTGCTGACTTTTTAACAGCCACTTCCAGGGCTCCGAGGGGCACGCGCTGAAAGCACTGGTCTCACTGCCTGGTAGAATCTTTAGGGTCTGCAGGTAATCGGCGCCCTGCGGAAGCTCCGCAGGCCTCATTCCCATGGGAAGATGACGACCCAAACTCCTCCGCCTGCTCAGCATTCACTGAGGTACCCACTCCCCAGTCAAGAGCTCACTCTCAAGTTCGGAAGACAGGTGGTGATTTTAAATAATGTTAAGTGAAAGAATTAAGTGATGATATATATAAGTTACTCAACAAGGAAGGCCCATTCCAGCCACTATGAGGAAAAACCACCTGAATGATGAAAAGAAGAGTTGGGCCCAGCACACACCTGTAATCCCAGCACTCAGAAAGCTGAGGCAGGAGACTCTTGAGTTCCAGGTATCCTGGATTATGGAGGAGATGCTGTCTCAAAAAGGGAAAGGGAGGAGAGCGGGGAAGAAAAGGAAAGTAGCCAGGTGTGGAAAAATCTAGGGCAGAATATTCCAGGAAAAGAGGCACAAGCTAAAGGCCCTGAGTCACACAGAGGGGAGCCAAGGGCAGCTTGAGGTGAGGCTGAAGATTAGGCCAGTGTCAGTTCACTCAGGACTTGGCTGGTCAAGGCCAGGAACCCATTGGAGGATTTTTAGCAAGAAAACAGTACAATCTTGACCTTTTCAAAGCATGTCTTTGAATACACAGAGATTCAGTGTGGATTCAGTGTGGAGGCCCCTGAGGAAGCCACTGGACAATCCCAGTGTACAACCACGCTGCGTGGATGGAACCGTTAGCAGTCGGGGAGAAGCACAAGATTGGTGTATTAGAATCGGAAGATTTCCATATGTGTTTTCAGCAACAGGATGGACAGGGTTGGCCTGCTGATTTTAGAGCCTAATTCCATAGCTAGTACCAAAAACTCTACTGGAGCTGATAAAGGCACCTACTCTGTGTTGAATAAAGTGCTCAAACAGTTCACGAAATTCTCAAAGCAACCGTATCAAGCACATACTTTTATTACTCTCGGCTTACAGAAAACCAATGTTCTGGAGCCTGAGGAGCCAGCCCAAGACAAGAGCCGGGATCTGGAGCCCACTTCTGCGTCCACAGCTGGCAAAGCGACCACGCCAGGTATGGGATCCCTTTCTGGCCGTGCTGACACCCACTCTGAGTGATGTGGGAGACTTGCGTCTACACACCAAAGGCTTCCTTGCCCTCTGGTCACACTGCACCTTCTAACAACCAATAGCTGTGAGGAGGCCTCCTGAGCCGGCAGTGAGGAGCTCAGAGGGCCTCTCTGACAGACCACGGCTTGGCACTGCGGCCTGAGGGACCAGCACTGCTTTTGAAAAAGAACAGACACTGGGCCAGGGACTTAGCTCAGTGGTTCCGCCACCTGCCTCTCAAGCACAAGGTCCTGAGTTTGATCCCCGGTACCAAAAAAAAAACAGACGCTAAAGGATCTACTGTTTTTTAGTCCTTTGCTGGTCCACCATCTAGAAGACAAACTCAAATTATTTGTAAAGGATGAGTTATCATTCCTTAAGTGGTTCAAACTGTCCCAAATCTATTCTGCTTTTTAAAGTCTTAATGTTTGGTTAGGCAAAGTTACAGTTGATATATCATATGCAAATATTAAATTATTTAGCATTTCCTGAAATATTTTCGTTTATTGTATCAAAAGGTCACAAAGAATGTATACCAATTACAAAACGCCAATATAATTCCTAAGAACTTTCTACTTCAAACTAAATAAACTAAACCTTAAATACAAACCAGAATCTTGTTTTCAAAAGATGCACAGTTAAATTATGACAGTCTCCAATATTTTTCACTCATCTCCTTAATCTAACTATTTTTTTAACCCAGCACACAATAACCACAGAGAGTACTTGATACCGCTTCTTAAGTGAATTATAATAGAATTTGGAAGAAAAAAAAAAAAGAACAGGTCTCGTATGCGTACTAGGTGCGATTCAAAAATAAGGTAAATGTTTAAATCTTTTAAATTATTACAGTAAACGATATATACATGACCATTAATTCCCCTCAGAAACACCCCCCATTTCAAACACAGCCATCCCATGATTAAAGCCACTTTCTGAGTAGTTCTGGAAGTGCTCTTTCGCAAGCATCTTTAGTTGCACTGCCGTGGCTGACTGGATGACCTAAACAGATTGAAAACATTTACCTTTCGTGCTCATTTTGATTTTGTGGAAGAGCCAGAAGCACACAGCGCCAGACCCACTGTACAAGGCCTCGTGTTTTTACGAGTCTCTCTTTCTGCTGGAGAGTACAGAGGCAGCACTCACCTCACAGAAACACTCAGGAAAGAGGACTTTGAGAACTGCCTCAGAAAGTGGCAAGAGGGAAAGGATGAGTGTTCAAATCAAGGGGGAGTATTCTGGGGGGACTAATGATAATGTGTCTTCTGTAATAAAAACTGGGGGGGTACTGGGGATCGAACTCAGGACCTGTGCTTGCGAGGCAGGCAGCGGAACCACTGAGCTAAATCCCCAGCCCGGTAACAATTTTTTTTAATGTAGACATCACATATTTTTATCACACCTTGCACATATAAAACATTGCTGATCCACAAACGTGCGTCCAAAGGATGCTGATTTGCAGTGGGGACCTCTGTGCAGATCTCTGGGAATCCTCTGGAGGAGCTGAGGTCTCCCGGTCTGAGAGGGAGCCCAGAGCGCTAATCTGAGGGAAACAGACCGCTCCCTCTTCACATCAGAACTCAGCTCAGACCTGACCGGACTCCAAACCCGGGTCTCGTGTCCCTCATTGCTCCTGACGTGGCCCAGATGGTTGCTCAGCCTCTGCTGACAGCACCTCGACCCACAGTTCCGGACACGGACGCCCGCTCGTCCCCTCGGATCCCACACCTTACAGCTCACACAGTGTGAACGACTGCAGATTTTCCGTCCCCACGGGACCCCATTCCTCTCCCGTTTTACAAACCCCGCGGAGACTTGCTGCACACGGTGGGACTCAAACACCTCGGGACACTCCTGGTCCCTCCTGCATCCCACTGCTCCTAACAACCCGGGAGATCGCAAACTGGAACCCTTCTGCAGCGTGCTGAGGAAGAACATGGACCACTGGGGTAACTGCGGCTAAGTTACCGTAAAGGAGAAGTAACAATACACCCACCTCCTAAGGCTTTTGTGAGAATTAAATGAAGCACCTGTAGAGTGTTTAAACAGGGTTGCTCGCTGGTTACTATTATCACACAGAATTTAGCTGAGCATAAACAGGTCTCTACGCAGTTGAAGAAAGGCTCACATCAAAATGGTGCCTTTCCCAAGCTTTCTAATTCTTCTGTGGAAAAGTCAGCAAAACAGCTTGCCTCTGCTGGCATATAACCCATTCATTATATTAAAAAAAAAATTTAGGGGGCTAAAAAAAAAAAAAAAAAAAAAAAAAGTTTTAGCCGGGAGTGGTGGCGCACACCTGTAATCCCAGCACTCGGGAGGCTGAGGCAGGAGGATCACTGAGAGTTCAAAACCAGCCTGGGCTCCATTGTGAGTTCCAGGTCAGTCTCAACTACATAGTGAGACCCTGTCTCAAAAAAAACCAAAAAAAAAATTTTTTTTAAATAAACAAACAAACAAACAATCGCTCACTGGGGATTTAGCTCAGTGGTTCTGCCACCTGCTTCACAAGCGCAAGGACCTGAGTTTTTTTTTAAAAAAAAAAAAAAAAAAAAAGATGATAAAACAATCACTCATTCCTTTAGATTTCTAGTTTTCAATTTTCTGAACCCTTATTGTGACACAGAAACCAGTCCTAGCTAGCACACCCCCAGCAGCAGCCAGTGAACTCGTGCCTAGCCCGGCTCAGCACCATCCAGCCCCCCACCCACTGAAACAAATCCAAGGGTTCTGAAACACTGCACGCCTCGGACAACCCCTGCCTCAAAAGAGAACAGACACTTTTGTACAAACAGAAATGAACTTCTAAAATGCTTACCTTGCCTCATAAACGAAAGGGCTTTTTCTTTTATATTATCAGTCAGCTGTTTCTTTTTAGTCAGATAATCCAAAATGTAGATATTTGGAGCAAAATTGATCATGTTCTGCTCCCCACAGCCATAAGGCATCCGAATCAGTGAGGCTAAGCCACTGATGGAGGGACCGAGGATATCACCTGGAGGCACAAGACATCCCGGTCACCGGACAGACACAACCAACAACTCACCCGCCGCGGCAGAGCCTTCTGCTCAGTACAGACAGCATCTGTCACAGGCGAGACGGGAGCACCTTGGAAAGTTTACACCACATTATATGATCAAAAACTAATGATGCAATGGTACTGAACTTTCAATTCATGCAATGTATTAGGAAACTTTTTACATCAGCTGAAAATATAACATATACATATTAGGTTAAAAAAAAGTTGTTTTTTTTTTTAAATCTGGAACAAGCCAGGAGTGGTGGGGCACACCTGTCATCCCTGTACTTGGGAGGCTGAGGCAGGAGGGCTGCCATGAGTTCAAAGCCAGTGTGGACTACATAGTCAGTGTAAGGCCAGCTTGAACTACATAGCGAGATCCTGTGTCAAAAAAGAAAAACAAATAATAAATCTTGAACAAAAAATGTCAGGAATTGATTAATAGGAATCATGATTCTCATACAAGAAAGAAACGTTTTATTACTCATATTTTTCACATAAACATAACTTTGCTGATTTCTCACTAATATGCTATGAATCCTTGAGAAACAGTATTTCTTAAAACAGCCGGAATGGGAGAATTTTGTAATGTGCTCTACTGAGGAGCAGCAAGGTGACAAGTGTAAGTTTTCAATGACTTTCAGGATCAAAAAGGATTAGGAATAGTCTTCAAAGTTAGCAGTCTACAATCAGACAATACACATGCCTAAAAGATTCTTCTATCCACACTCTAATACCATGGCTCAGGGAAATATGTAAAAACCAAGAAATATGGCCGGGCGTGGTGGCGCACACCTGTAATCCCAGCACTTGGGAGGCTGAGGCAGGAGGATCTCTGTGAGTTCAAGACCAGCCTGGGCTACACAGTGAGTTCCAATACAGAGGCTGAGTTCCTAAGTTTGACCCCACTATGATTAAGCCATAAGAAGAATTATCCTTCTATGTAGCTTAAATGTCAAGTCCAAATACCTACTGGAAATCCAATCCTAAGAAATAACTTAAACAAAAAGTGAAGGAAGACCTCTTTCTCATGAACAGGCTACAACCCAACCAGCAAATCTTCAACCTCAGTGTCAACACCTGAGTCTGGTCAGAGTGTTGCCGCTGCAGGTCATGTTTTTAACATTCAAAAGAAACCATAAATTTACAATTTCAAACATCCAAAGAACAAAGCTAACATTCATACATTCTGGGCTTCTGAATAGATTTAAGAGTATATGAAAATAAAACTTGAAAAAATATTCAATCTTGACAGCATTTTTATGAGCACAGATAGACCCATTCTTATTTAAGAAGTGGTGATGAATATATATATATATATATATGGACGGGGATGTAGCTCAGTGACTTTAGAAGCTCAAGATCCCAAGTTCAAACCCTGATACTGAAAAAAGAAAGAAAAAAAAAGTGGTGGCATATAGTTCATCATCAAGGATTTTCCCATGTGCCTGCATACATGTGTGTGGATCTGCGTGTGTATGCATGGGTGTGTGTGTGTACTTGTGTAAGCACTGTATCCCCAGCATCCCAACACCGTGGGGGATGCTTAGGCAGAATTCCTGTAAACAGAAAAAGCTTAATTAATTCCTTTAAAAATGTATATCTAGGGCTCCAAATAAAGTCCTCTGTATAGGGATTTTTCTTGGGGGCTATCATAAAAAGCATTACAGCTGGGTGTGATGGTACACGCCTGTAATCCCAGCACTCAGGAGGCTGAGGCAGGAGGATCGCTGTGAGTTCGAGACCAGCCTGGGCTACATAGTGAGTTCCAGGTCAGTCTCAACTACATAGTGAGACCCTGTCTCAAAAATCCAAAACCAAAAAAAAGCATTACATGTCATAAAGGTGAGATTTAAATGTACCAATTCCACACAATGAATGTAATCATTAGATATTCCCAATATGTACTAATAAAAATTTAAAATTTTTTTAAAAGAACTCTGAAAAAGTCCCATAGGTCCTGATACCTTAAAGACAAACAAACTACTTTGATGTCATTAATTAAATCTTGTGCAGTTCTTTGTAAAGCGCAATTATATATTTTTTTAACTTTAGCGACAGCTAATTTTATGTGTCACCTTGAGTAGGCCACGAGCGCCCCGATGAATCCGATGGATGCTATTCTGGGTGTGTCTGAGGGTTTCTGGATGAGATGAGCATCTGAACCCATGGTCTGATGAAGCCAAATGCTCTCAGGAGTACGGGCAGACATCACCAAACCAGGGAGGGCAACAGCACACACGGCCTGAAAGGAGACCTCTGCCTCTCTCCAGGCTCTGCGGGAGTCTGACCCAGATCCTCAGCCTCCGCCTTGGGTCTCACTCTCACCAGCCAGGATCTCCAGCTCGGAAATGGCCAGTCTGGGACCCCTTGGCCTCCGTAACGGTGTGAGCAAATTCCTCATAATAAATCTCCCTTTGCTTATATCCAGTGGGCTCCGTTTCTCTAGAGAACCCTGACTTCAGTCATGTTTAATTCGAAACAAGTTCTGTTTCCTGGAGGGACCTAGGAAAAGCAACTAAATCGGTGGGCAGCTTCCCGCTGTAAAGCTGGCTGTGTCCTTACACAGAACCGCACCAAGTGGTTATTCTCAGCCCTTGCTTATCAGAACCACTTGTAGAATTTTTCAAAATAGACCAGCCCTAGCCAGAGCCCAAGAAATTCTAACTTAATAAATGATTGAGTTACTTGTGTTTTCACAAAGCTTCACAGAAAATCCTGGTACTACTCCCTAGGGGTCAAGAGCCAGAGAAGCCAGAAGCTCTACCTTTGGAAGTAAACCCCCTCCGGTCCCAGTACTGTGGGCCTTGCCCCTCAGCCTGTGGTCTGCAAACACAAGCAGCACCCTCGCCTCTTAGAAACGCGGAACCCCAGACCCGCTTTGGAACAGATCCCAGGCGATTCACACATGCCCTGAAGACGGGGAGAAGCTGACCTACAGGCATAACTTGCTATTCTACTGCAATTAGCGGCTGGGATGAACAAAAACTTTTTATGTTCTCTTCTCATTTTAATAAATAAGAAAATACGACTATAAATAGGTGAGCAATTGATATTATTATACACAAATACACCAGGAGACGGGTGACGCTCTGTTCTTACCAACAGCAGTGATCTGAACTCTTTCGCTGCCACTGACCGTATCAGGGGGAAACGTGAAACCCAGAGTTGCCAGGGTCGTCTGTTTGTCAATCGAGTCTAATAAGATGGCTTGTGAATATGATTTTTCTATTCCTTCAGCCTATGAAGAAAATTGACAAAATTAATATGGGCTTGGTTTCTTTACAGAGAACTCAGCATGGACAAGAAGATGGACACCGGGCTTGTTGGATCCGTAGTTTGTGGACAGCTAGAAGTGTTCCTGGCAGTGCTTCGTTCTGACTTCAAATCTATCTACTTCCTGGTTAAATCAGACAAAATGTTTCATGGAACAGCAGTGGAAATGACAAAGGAGAAGATACAGTGGGGTGGGAAAAAGCTGAGACAGGTTTTATTGTCATCCAGGAGAACAATTAAGTGCCTTATCCAAAACCCCACATTTAATAAAGCAGAGATTCGAACCCAGAGCTATCTGATCCCAGACCCAAGTGCTTCTCCACTATGATGTTTTCTTTTTCTAATTCTTCCCAGAAGAAGTCTACAAAATCTCTTCTATCTGCACTGGGGCATCCAAAATTCCCAATCTACTTATTAGCTTGACTGCGATTTCACAAGATCCTGATGTAACACAGCTTGTAGATATAAATGACCATGAAAAAGACTTTACAGTCACCTTGCTTCTTCAATTTATAAAGCAGACGTTCCAAAACATTCACATATCATATTTATATACACAGATGAAAAAACTATCAGGCATTACCAGGAGGGTTGAGGAGATTACCTAATAGGTTTGCCCACAAATTTAACTGAGGGAAAAACCACTTTGTTTGATTTTCAATTACGTATTTCCATTTTATTTATTTAAGACTCCAAATATTTACCTTTACTAAAATTCTCCGGGTGACAGCATCAGAAGCCATGGGTGAGAGGGCTCTGACTGTGATCGGGATTTCTCCCAGATGTGTGGGCCTGACAGGGAAAAGAACGGCTGCACCATCTTCACTGGGGACCAGAATGTCCTGCTGGTGTCCCGTAGCATTGATTTCCTTTGAAGCCAGTAGAATATCAAATCTGTCACTTTCCTCAACGATTACTTTAACCTAGAAGGAAAAAATACCAAAGATTTGGTGATAATAAATGCTCTTCCATGTCTTATCACCACTTAAATCTATGAGGCTCAAACACAGAAAAAGATGAGGCAAACATTCAGCTAAGGAGAGAATGAAAGTAGATCAGAAAAACTTTATTTCATATACACTCCCCTCTCACCTCAAGCTAACTGGGGAAAGAAACACTCTAGCTTTCTACCATTAAGTTCTCTCCTTATGCCGAGAAGTAATAAGGTTGTCACAGAAAAGCTATTTCATATACAGTACTAGTATCGTGACCAGCCTAATTTAACTGTGACATCCTAGGAGACATTGGTCCCATTAGAAAAGCATAAGACAAACAGGATAAGTGTTACTACCTCTATTAAGAGTCTACAAAAATGATCCCCAAAAAGTATTATTCAGACATTAGTCCTAAAGCATATGCCAGAGTTGCTGGTCTCATTCATAGCATTTTTCGAGACCTTGTATTTTATAAAGTGTTTTCAAATTTACCTTTTCATCTGCTTCTCAAAACATTTTTTTGCAAATAGTAATTATGATTTCCATTGTTTTAGATGAGGAAACTACAATTAAGTTATATGTTGGTAGTGGCAAACAGGAGAGTGCACCTTCTGACTCCAGATTTTTCACTTGTACCATGCTGACTAGATTAAGAAGTACAACTGAAAACCAAAAAGCAGCCGGGCGTGGTGGTGCATGCCTGTAATCCCAGTACTTGGGAGGCTAAGGCAGGAGGATCGCTGTGGATTCGAGACCAACCTTGGCTACACAGCGAGTTCCAGTTCAGTCTCAACTATATAGTGAGACCCTGTCTCAAAAAACCAAAAAAAAAAAAAAAAAAAAAAAAAAAAAAAAAAAAAAAAAGCAGCTTAGTAGTAGCATATGTGTTTAGCATGAACAAAGTCCTGGGTTTAATACCTGTCAATATATGTATGTATGTATGTATGTGTATATGTGTGTATATGCATGTATATGTGTATATATGTGTATATGCATATGTATATGTGTGTATATATGTATATGTGTGTATATGTGTGTATGTGTATATGTATGTGTATATGTGTATATAATATGTATGTGTGTATATGTGTGTATATGTGTATATGTGTGTGTGTGTATATATATATGTATATGTGTATATAAGTATGTGTATATAAGTATGTGTATATATATGTATGTATATATGTGTGTGTATATGTGTATATGTGTGTGCATGTGTATGTGTGTATATGTATATATGTGTACATGTGTATGTGTGTATGTGTATATATGTATATGTGTGTATGTGTATATACGTGTGTATATGTTTATATATGTGTATGTGTATATGTGTGTATATATGTATATGTGT